ATATATATATATATTATATATATATGACATTATATATGACATATATATATATATATATATATATATATATATATATATATATATATATATATGATATATATATTTGCTGTTAAGGCCATGTTATGGCGGTTTTCCACTTGGCGGAATTTTTTGATCGAACGAAATTTTTCGTCTGATATTCTTTAGAATTGTGAGAATTTGAGCGTAGCAGATTCCCTTCACTTGTCACAATTGAAAAGACGATCGAGCGAAAAATTTCGTTCGATCGAAAAATTCCGCCAAGTGGAAAACCGGCTTTACACAGTGCAATAGACCTTTTCGGTAATTACGTCACAAAATTATCGTTTTAGATTTAGAACCACCTTAAATGAGATGGATCTTAAGTTTTACTCTCACAAGCATATATGCAAAGATGCAAAACATCCTTCTATACAACCCGTGCATGAGAAATAGTTTTTTATTTTGACTAATAAGTATGGAAATAAGCTATGACCGGTCTTAGCCCCTCAGCCTCGTTCTCGTGTTATGGCTTATTTCCAAAGTTATTGGTCAAAACAAAAAATTTTTTCATGCATGTGTTAAAAAATGATGTTTTGAATCTTTGCACGTGGCTCGTGAGTGTAAAACTTGAAATCCATTTTATTTAAGGTGGTTCTAAATTTAAAACTTTGTGATGTTAAATTGTGGTGACGTAATTACCGAAAAGGTCTATTTTTCTTGCAACTTATACTCCGATTCTACTTTTAACAGATGTAAATTAGTGAAGAGTCTTCAAAATTGAAGTATACTGAGAAACGCCTTATGCATGGAGTGTAATAAAGACAAAAGTTTGCCAAATTTGCATCTCTCAAAAGAAGATTGCATTGCAAGTTGCAGGGAAAATTGCACCGTGTAACAGGGCCTTTAGGATGCAGTTTATTTGTTGCAATATACTGAATAAGCTTGGCATGTCATTTTTCAAAGACATGCTCGATTATGAAGAGCTATTACATCATACATCGCTTTAACAATAAAAATGGATTTTTATTACTGAATTGCTGATTGAATATTTGAGAGATTACATTCGAAGCCGAATAACCGGCATTATTATATACCACTTGTCAAAGTTTGGTGTTCGTAGCGTCTCATTGGTCAAGAGCGAATCGCTTGAGAGTGACGAAATTTTGATGTCGCCTGCAACCCCCTGCACAGGGAGTCAAATTTTCCATGGAAAAGAACAATTTAATCACGTTCACCTGGCCATGCAACCTTTGGACTGTTTAGTTGAAATTGACCACTTGAAATTCCGTCTTTTATGATTGATGAATAGATATTTCGTTGTTTACCTTGGTTTGTTCGGTTTTTCTTTGTGGTACACACTGAAAAAACAAGTGATATATTATCATACCAAAAAAAATATTTACCGAGACCTCAGTCAGAAAACATTATACACCTAATGTATGCTCCCGAGGGAAATATAGTGAGTTTTGTTTTCAGAAATAGTGAGTCTGAAACATTGTGACTCGAAGAAAAACAAAACTCACTATTTCCCGAGGTAGTGTATATTTGCTTTGTTATACAGGAACAAAAACATACATCGGTTCCACACAGTAGCGTAGCCAGCCTGTCGATTTGTCCCGCTATGCTAATATTTTTGTGTTCACTGACTGTGAAAACAATAGATTTCTAAAGACATGAATAATCAGTATAATAACTCGAAATTTACATGGCGGGACAAAATCGTCAGGCTTGCTACGCCAGTGGTTACCCAACAATTTATTTAAAAAAAAAACACTTTACTTTGTTATGACATATGCGGGCAACAATTTTTCACGTGTTCCTGGCGAGAAACATTGCATCTATTTAAAGTCATGTGACTACAAATGAACCCATCACATTTAAAATACACAGCACCTTTATAACATCGTGCCTTTTGCCTTTTTTCGTATCAAATAAACTTAAAATATGTTTGTTCTACCGACTTATTTGAGCTGCTTCATAACATAAGCTTTAGTCTAGCTGGTTAGCTCAAGGAATTATTTGCTTTGTGTGAAATGGCGAGGGTTGCTGAATGCATGCGTGCACTACACTAACAATAGTAGACTAAGTAGACTCGTGTAAGACGCGCGAGCGTCACGAGAATGAAACGTGGAAATTGCACCGTATAAAGCCGCTTTTCCACTAGCGATATTTTTCGCGCGAAGCGACATTTTACTTTTGTTTCAGAGCTCCCAACTGCAACCATCTGGAACAAATTGCTCAAATAACAAAGGAATCAAGTCGCTTCGCGCGAAAAATATCGCTAGTGGAAAACCGGCTTAACAGGGCCTTTACGGCCTCTTTCATTTAACATATTTGCCTGCAGGAATGTCACACGAAAATAAAGATTTTTTACGGGCATTTTTTTGTCTAGTTTATGTTTTAGTTGTTTTTTTCTTCTCATTGGGGGCTGCATGATTTAAGAATTTTCCAAATTCCGCATGTATTGAATTTCTTTAATCTGTTATTCATTTAGGAATATAGTGAACTGGTTAAATGGTTATAAATATTCCCACAGGACAGGATATTTCTAGAAATTTAACGATTCAATATGCAAGCATATACCGACTGGAACCCACCTTTAACCTTTGCTTGAAAAACAAAGAAATTATAGATTTGGGGCTAACAGAAAGAGAACCTCCAATTTAAGAATACTATATTCAAAGTACCCCAAAAATGTCATCATGAGAAAGGCTAATTCTGCAATCTGTGTGCTAATTCCAACAGACATGCGCGTCTGTCAATGCCAGTCTCGGTGTGATTATATTATGCTTTGTTGACGTATATTGCTCTTAGCGTTTAACACCGCTGGAAGGCCTGGTGTAATTGTTTAATTTGGCTGAATTACGAATCGGTCGATTGATGTCTTTCTACATTTTGTCATTCTTGTTTTTGTGTGTAATTTATTGATGAAAGCAGAATGTATGGTATAAGTTTCGTCTAACTATATTAATTTTATACACTCGCGGGTAATTCGTCAATGGCGACTAATTTCCACGGGGGACGTTTTAAGTGATATTACAGTATATTCAATTCAATTCGATTCAAGATTGGCAATAACTAAAAGCATATAAACTCTCCAGTTATTTTATAGTTTCGTCAGCCAGATTTCTACCATTTTTAGGAATTCAAAATAATCGTTCAAATTGGTATCTCGCGACCATGCAACATGTCATCTGAGATGATTGTTTATTTACGATTGTTTATTTACTACTGAAATAATCTTCTCGCAGAAGATAGATAGAGGTATTTAGATAAACTGACTTTATTTAACCACGCTAACCTCATCACCCGTGGTAATTTTCATGAGGGACGTCACACAATTACAGATATAATTAATTAAATAACTACCAATAGTATATTAATAAAAGTATTTAATTAGACCCATGCAACAATTAAAAAGAAGTTAGAAAATAAGACTAATTGATGTCTAACACAGAATTGTCATGATTTTATCAATTTTTTAGAACTGCTTATAAAGATTTTGTTTGCTTAGCTCGCATTCAGCAAACTATTCCATGGCACAGCCTTACTCTACCCAAAGCTCTTCTTTAACGGACTTTCAGTATTTGGTTTGGGAAGTGAAAGGTTGATTTCAGCATTTCTAAGATCATACTGAATTATTCAGATTTAAATTTACTCTTGTCATGAATTTATTTTTTAAATTAGGGACCGCGTATATTAAATCATAATTATCCCTAATATTCTCAGACAGGCCCAACAAGGCTGGGCGTCAGTCAATGAAATACTGCGAGTATAGTAACCTAGGTAGTTTTGCCCGCTGCGGAACGGTAAGGATGGTGACGGCAACACGGCGAAGCGAACGAGGTTGGCGAAGCGAACGAGGTTGGCGAAGCGAACCAGCTCGGCGAAGGGAACGAGGTTGGCAATGCGAACGTGCTAAGGTCCATTAAATATTTCTTACTGTCATTTTCAATCATGCGTACCTCCACCAAGATATGAAACCTAAACGGTACCCTCTCCATCCAATGATCACACAGTCTCACGTACGGAATCACAGAAGTGAAAGCCGCCGTGGAAGAAAAACGAAGTGTGCATCAAATAAATACATGAAATATACCTACATAAATGCTTGGATGTATACATTGGCTATAGTCGAGGAATGGCAAAAGCATACATTTTAAGTGATAACTAATGTATTAAATTACCAATAACATTATAACAAGTCCATATCGGCGCGGTAAACTGCTATTCAGATACCGCAGCAAATTCACCAACCCTGCACAAATGCGCGCGAGCAAACCAGTCATGCCAGAAACTTAAAATTGATTAGAATTAAGCAACGCGAGACGCGAGTTCAACTGTTAAATCATAACTTGATTAATTAATCATGACGGACGAACTGCGATACTTATATCCCTATAAGTTTATATTATATAATTGTAAATAGTTTCTTTCTCTCAGTCACGCCAATAGTCCTATAGTTCTAGTCGGAATTATTTGACAAAGTGGTTATTTCAACTTATAAATGATACCGGCTTCATGTGCCACGTTTTCGTCGGTAAAACCTGGGGGTAGCACCCCACCCGTTCCCAGTAAAGATAGGCATGCGGCGCTTCTGAACGTTGCGTAGTCAATTTCGCTATTATACATTCAGTTATTATGTCGTAGTCAAGGACGCTGGTGTAAAGTATACCCTTAGGACTATATGCAAATTTTGTTTGTCCAAATATTGTTTCTCTCAGGTTAAGCACTTTGAATACAAAGCTCAAGGCTGCGTTCACACGGTACCGCAGATCCGCTCCTCACGACATCTTCGTTTTCCTTTATGTAGCATAACGATTATTAATAATGTTTATTAATTTGAAAGATTTGATACATTTATTCCGGTCTCGGACATTAAAGATCTTACTGCCAATGCTTACTGATTTACTTCAAAATTTGACCTGTTCCAATAGCAATCCGGTACATTGTGAACGGAACCTCAATCGTAATCCGTACCCGTTGTTCGTTGTGTCATCTTTAACTCCCTTTTACTATTAGATCAATTTAGACGGAGACAAACTGAGCATCAGCCATCAGTGGTAAAATGCCCTGCACCGCGCCACGGCCACTTCTTGGCTTTTCTACAACACCTGCCTGTCACTATACGCCTCAAGGGGTCTGGATAATTCCTTTCTATCCATCATCAACTGTGATGTTTGGTGCGAGCACAGAAGCGAAAGACGTCATGCTCCAAATACTCGCAGTTGGATTTTACATATAGCTTTACATAAATTTAACGACAATTTTCTCTTTGTTTGTACGACCGGAAATTTGTGGTTTTGCATGTGTTGTTTACTGCATGCAGTTCCATGCATTGCCCGACAATATATGATGTGATACATCGAGAATTCTTTTCACATTTTCTATTGCTACAACTGACATATAGAAAGAGTGACGTGACTGTAATCGTAATCAACAAGCTATACCTTTTGCTAGCAGTATATATGGACAAAATGTGCAAGTGTCACCGAATCACAGCGTTTCTTTCAAAACACTTTCTTCCAGTCGGAACATTATTTATCATTCCTCTTGGAATTTGCTTTCCAATTCCCGCGTATACCTCAACAGCAAACTTCCCGTGGTACAGATGTGTATTGTCACATTGTTTTTCGTCATCGGAGCGAAATTTCGTTTAACAGAGATTCGATCTGCGCTCCGTTGTTTTAAGGAGACGCTTTTAGGGATAATCGTTGTTCTGTTTGTCACTCCGGTTGTTGGAACCAAGTTATTGACGTTGCCTAGTTTCCGAGATTTCGCCCAGTCTGGTTTGAAAGCAAATGAGACATTGAACAACAGCTGGTCAATACAATTACCAGATCTTGGTCCGGAGGAATTTCGAATTGGTCTACAGATATTTTGTGTCTCTCCATGCGCATCTGCTTTTCCAACGGTTGTGGTAAGTCGTAATGTTTTTTTGTATTGCAACGTATTGTTGTCCGGCGTCTCAAAAATTTGAAGTGAAATGTGAAAAAATAAGTAACTGTTTATAAGACTAATCCTATCAGTTTTGAAACTAATCTGCTACAATAACAAGTCATTGTAATTATAATTACTTGTAATTCCTCCCAAGACTGCCAAGTGCATGTAGCCGGTGACTTTAATTTGGAGATAAAATGTAAATAACAACCCAGCATATACTGGCTGTTAGGTATTGTACGATAAACGATTTCCTACTAAACTAAAGATGCCGAAATTTCGCGATGTAACTATTCACTTTCAATGGTTTAATTTGCAGTCTTTGTCCAATACCGGTTTTGACCAAAATTTAGCAACTACGACAAAGGTGTTACATTTTATTATAACATAGTCACATATAACAGAGATAGTTTAGCGTTGCCCGGGTTAATATATACGCGATTAAAACTAGGCAGGACTGAAGATTAACGCGATAATTGGAGGTGAATATTGATATATTTTGTTCTGCCCGACGAATTTCATTTGAAAACGTTTCGTTTGAAAAGAAAACCATAAGTAGAACGAATAAATTTGCACCGCACCAATCATCGCGTCTGGTTTCGGTCGAATAGTTTATTTGTCCGGCGGCAGTAAACGAGGCTTCGATAATCCCCACACGCAAACATCAGGTATAATGTCTTTTAATGGTGGGTAGGCTATATAGATTTAATTTTGCATTCGCTATTCAGGTTGTATAAAAAAAAGGTAATCCAACTTCAACACGCTGTTGTATGTGAACTACTCAGTCTGTAAACGAAAGTTTTTCACATTCGGAAAGATCAGGCTTTGAACTATCGGATGACATGCTTTTAATTCCAAATGGTGAAAAAATGAGAGGCTGATAAAAAATGTTTGTCACAATCGCATATTTTCACCTTTGAGCCTAATTAAAGCAGTGCATAACAAAAAAAGAAACAATTAATCACGAACATGTCAAGCTTGCATTGGATTTACAACATGTTTATTGCAATTATTAACATTTATACTTTTTAAAAAGAGACTATGCGCCGATGCCTTCAACTTGACCACCATCTCTATCGATACAAGTTTGACATCTTGTCCGCATTGCTTGGAATGTTCTCCTGATGTGATTTATTCCTAGTTAATATGCATATGCGGGTAGTTTATTTACAAGCAAATTCTTCAATTAAGTCCCAAAGGGAGTTAATTCTAAATGGTTTTAGTCTTAACTCTCGGAGGTAAAAATATGCCATTTTGAATAATACTTTTTATCAGCCACCTATTTGCTCATTTTCCCACCATTCAGTATTAAAAACATGTCATTCGATAGTTAACTATCCTTTCCGAATGTGAAAGAATTTCGTTAATAGAATGAGCAGATCACGCCATAGTTGGATTACCTTTTTTTGATACACCCTTTATATAAAGGACCGCGATATATATAGCTATACTCGGTAGTTGTTCAAAGCTAGGTTGACACTAACCCTGGGTTACTGTTTAATCCACTGTTTTAGTTTATGTGGTTCTGAACTACTGTTCGTTTTAAAACTCAGTTAAAAAATATGACTTCTATCGGTCCCGAAAATAATTATGAAATACGATATTCAACTTTGTAAACCAGCGATTAAGAAAATTATTAAAACCGGGCGCTGATAGACAAAACAACTAATTTAAAATTAGTTGTCTCAGATTTCATCTGTCCATGATCAATTTTATTCGGCAAAAACGAATTTAAAGCGACTTGTTAGTCCTTCCAACAAATAAAAAAATTGGTCTGAGAAATGAATTTGATGTAATCAATGTTAAGTTGACCGTGGTTACTTTTCCAGTGCATGAGTTTTCCAGGGTATTTTTCGATATTGTATTGACAAAGATATGTTTATTGATATTGATAACTGCGATTTTTGCTGGAATAAACTTAGCTAACCCTGAGCAGCAAGTTCAACTTTCATTGTCGTTTTCGAAAAATGTATACTGTATAATATTTCGCGGACTGCTGTTGGAAATTTTGCGGATATAGGATAATTATCATAATGCATGCAAACGTCATTGGTATAAATTACTACTGAGGATCAATAATAAGTAAGAAACTTGGATATTTAAGGACAGATTGGAAATGACGCTCGACTTAGAGTATGAAATAGCGATTGTGATAGTGAATGTGAGTTAGCATTTTTACCTTACTCACGGCATTCCCAACAATGCAACCAGATTTTAAACTCTTCTAAAAACGTGCATGCATGGGGAGGATATATAGCTATAGGGACACTTTTCTAATTAAAAAGACCAGTTAAATATTGTCATATAGATTCGAGAATTGTAGAAATAGCCCAGTAAATATATATTTCGTGCGGGTTTATTTAAATAGGGAAGATAAGGTACAATAGCAAATAGTTTTAAACATGCAGCCAACTAGACGCGCGGAGATAAAAAAGTACATGCAATTCAGTTTTTATTTAAAACTAAAAGAAAAACTGTATAAGTTATATGCAATAGCTATATAAATAATGAAATATACTGGATGCATGTATACGTAATAAAAAGAAAACATGAGATATGATTGAAGGTAATGACTGAAGAATATTAAATCAAAACATATGCAAAACAAGGGTTCAGTTACAATTGACAACAGAGTGCACTAGACAGAGTGTGGTTGTGATAACAAGTTAAAAATAGTATGCCATTTACGATCTACAAAAGGCCGGATCCGTCTCAATGACCTGACTCACCAATGCCAGAGGCAATATTCACGAGATGACGTCAAAGTCGAAATGACGATGAGCAGATGCTCCTTGTATATGTTGGAGCACAAATGTTTGTAAAAATTACCAGCTTATGCAGCTCGATATAGACTATCTTACGAGTTCCGAAATATGGTATATAAAGTTTGCCCTGATGCATGTTATTACCATTTGCGTTCAATTGGTCAGTGTCCCGAATTTTTCGCGTTTGTTCATATTTGAACCAGCAGGTTTGAATTGGTAATCGGTTATATTGTTTGACAAAGAAATAACACAAGTTTGCTTGAAAATTCTAAAATACTCGCCGACTATCCCCAATTTGCAATTCTTTCAGATAATATCCCCAGTAAACAGTAATAGATACGAGGTAAAACATGCAAACATGTTAATCACGTGAATAAAACATGTGGAATTTTCCCACAAACGTATTGTAAACAACATAACCTTTTATCAATTTGAACCTGCATGAACGTTTCATTTGACAAACGTTTGAAACGTGAACAAACGCGAAAAATTCGGACGCTATCCAGTTGAACCCGAATGGTATAGTATTGCAATAATTATAGCTATATATACTCAATCTATCGATGCTCAATCGTAAGTGGTGTTCTTCGCGAGATATATGGATAGTGCACGTCACCAGGCCACTACGTCAAATTAGTATCATGCATCATAGACAATCCAAAAGACATTCGCCTGTATTCTAAAAGCTCACTCACACTCAAACTCATTGAGTGGGAGATCTTAATCTTCTCATAACGTTTCAATGGCGGTATTTCCAGCCAAACAGGGGCTTGATTTTCAGTGATTTACCTTATATCTTTCCATCTATTCAGAAAAAACTTTCTCATTGATCAGCATTAACGAAATTTATATGTCACACTCGATGAGTATGAGTGTGAGTGAGCTTTTTGAATACAAGCGATTGTCTTTTGGATTGTCTATGGTATCATCGGCTAACATACAAGACGGCGAATTTGAAAGGCAATTCGGGAGGCTTCTTATGTACATGCATGCACTTGAGTTGAGGACACTGATATTTTGACGTCCGCTTAAATGAGATTCAACCATTCTCATGCCATGGGTTCAACGCGCATAAAAACGTTACATCTGTACTGATTTTAAGTAATCCTGTTAAGTGATGTAATGCATCAAAGATATTCTTTTAAAAAGCGAAGGCAATCAAGCCATTCACCAAACTGTCGCCAACGCTTTATGCATGCCAAGTTATCTTCGTTCCTTCGTATTCACTTCTCGATTGCGGTTTCAAAAAATTCTTTCGGGTGGACCGCGGAATGTCGTTGCTGCCGATAGGAATCTAAAAAACGTGGATTTCACACCTGCAAATAAATGAGGAGCATATAATATGGACATAATTAGAAATACAATGCATTATGCATGCAGTAACCCTAATTTTCCCAGCCAGCAAGACCGAAGCTCATATTAATTAATGACTCAAATATACGTTGAAAGCTGGTATTTCTATTATTTATCAAATAGTCATAAAAGTGGAAAAAAGGTCACCATGCAGTTTTTTGCTGTATCAAGCATGCAGGCACTTAATGGATTCTCATATCTTTTAAGATGGCCTATAAATTATAAAATGCTAAACATCCAAGCTTCAATAAGCCATCAAAATAGTTTAAGAGCTAAACGTCAAGTATTATCCGGTTCGTCGGGTTCGAATATTATTAAGTGATTATAGTGACATTTGTCCCATCAAAATCCACGTTACACATTTAAAAACCCTTTTTGAAGTTAAAGCGATGGTGTAATTGTTGTCTTTTATAATCGGTATGTCTTTGCAAAACGACGTAAGCTCATACGTATGGTGCGCATGCGCAAACTACATTCTTACGTAAATACGAAATCAAAAAAATTGATGCGTGCCTCTTGAAACTGTGAAATTATGAGTCGTTCTTTTTCCTCTGCTTATTTTAAAACGGCATCCATGTCTCCTTAGTATAGCCAACGTTTTTACCCTATGTTTTGCGATATGACAGTTTTTTGACGTTCTCATTGAAACACAAACTTTTTGTCTCAGCCAATCAGAAATTTGCTGATTGCCAAGTCTTGCAGATTGGTCGCTCGAACAAATTTTGCACCTGCGCACATGTGCCATGACCATTAAACGACCAGCGTCCGTGATATAGGATTTGGACAACTTTGGATTCTGAGTTTGTTTTGTCACAATACCCAGGTGTAATTCAAAATATTGGAGGGGATTACTTGATTTTCA